GAGGATTCCCATGATGCATTGAGCTTTTCCTCGTCATTCTGTGTTTATGTTAGTTATGATTAATCTCTGGCTTTTGTCACGTCTCTCTGCCTTCAGACTAAAGGGTCGTGGGAGAAGGCTGCGCCTGGTTCGTGATGTAGTTGTGACACAGATGTTCTACAACCTCGCTGTCAAACAGGAAACCAGAAGAAACCAGTTAGTGACCAGTTGGCTTGAGTTCTCTTTGGCAAAGAGACTCATCACAAATGAGTTGTGAGTATATTTGAATCTGCCCGTTTATAAATTAGATGGAAATGATGTGAAAACCTTCACTGAGTGACTGCAGCAGGTCCAAACTGGGCAACATCTGTGTGGAGACGATCGCTGTGTGAACAAAGCCTCACGGCGCTGCTCGCTCAGCCTCTGGGTAACCATTTGGTCACCAGAGCTACTTGCAACATGTTGGGCAACCGTTGTTTCTTAAAGTTAGATATTGCTTCTCTATTTTTACTCTCGTGGCTGTTAGCCAACTTTCCTCTGATTGGCTATAGAAGATATAAATATATAAAGAGCAGGTGGGAGGGGCTTGAGATACCACACATGGCCATATTAGGCAGCCGCTCATACAGATACGAGATCCAAGCTGTTTAAACTGAGTCCCTGTGGATCCTACGAATATCCTGAAAGGCTGAGGAGTAAAAAACAGACCTTAGAACAAATGCTTGTGTTTATTAGCACGACAATAAAGTCAGCTGTGACGGTCAAGGTAACGGAGAAGCTTCAAGCTCCTCACGCAGCTCCCGTCTCGTCATCCCCGAGTCCTCAAAGTCACTGATGGAGGGGAAACCAACCCTCTGCTCGATCCACTGGGCCACGCTGAGCAGCTTCCGGTCTTGGAGAGCGGGAGCTATGAGCTGCAGGCCAATGGGAAGGCCCCGTCTCGACAAAGCCGTCGGCACAGAGACTGCAGGGAGACCTGGTGTGCAGAGAGAGAGTTGAGAGAACAGAGAGCGCCGCTCATTTCACTTCATGTGCAGGAGGGAAACGAGAAGCAGCTTCTTAAGCTCCTCAGTCACAGCTGTGCATGGTGTGCTCATCCCCAACATTTAAATGCTCCTCCCACACTTCCTCTGCATGCAGCTTCAGTGCCTACCTGCCATGTTGGCGGGCTGCGTGAAGACGTCTTCCTGTGCGCTGCGCGTTCGGTTATCTTCCTGAGTGAAGTCGCGGTAACGAGCCGCATCCGTCAGCGTGGTGGGCGTCAGCAGCACGTCGACACCAGAGCTGAACACGTGCTGGAAGTCATTCGCGATGAGCCGGCGAACTTTCTGAGCCTTCACAAAGTAGTGCTGGTAGTTCCTGCGGGAAGATAAAAAGATGCGATTATTGTTTAGAAAAAGATGGAGAGGATCACAGGATCCCTCCGTGGCTCGGAAACACGGCGGCTCAGTCTCACCGTTTTAGCAGGAAGTAGTTCCCGGACAGAATCCTCCCTCTGACGACGTCGTTGAAGCCCTCGTGTCTGCTCGAGGCGTACATGACCTCTGTCGAGCCGTCCGTCTGGCTGCGGTGGCCTGCTGGCAGAGTCACACTTCATCACACCCACTATAAGAAGTGCCAAACCCACACACCACAGCACCATTCATTACCGTATTCCAGGCCGTCAAACCGGGCCATGTTGGACGCCACCTCGGCGTGGCACAGGACGTGGTAGCACACGATGGAGTACTGCGTATGGGGGAGCGACACTCGCTCCACCCGCGCTCCGGCTTCCTCAAACAAGTCGGCCACGCTGCTCCACTGGGCCAGAGTCTCCTCGGAGAGGCCCGGGGCGTGATACTCCTGACGGGCAGCACAGGAGAGACGAACAACGGCTCAAC